ATTTTCTTTTTTTTTTCCCTCTCTCCCTCCCTCCCTCCTTCCTCTAGCTGGTCGCCGAACCGGCGACCGGCCAGAGGCCGGCGAGGCTCACCCTCGCAAGCGACAGCGAAGGCGAGCCTCACTAGGACCTCTTCGGCCCCTGGCGAGGCTCGCCCTCGCTAGCGACGGTGAAGGTGAACCTCACCATGGCTGGGTGAGGCTGGACCTCACTAGATCTGGCGAGGTCGTGCCTCGCCCAGCAGAGGCGAGGCTCAACCTTGCCAGATCCGGTGAGGTCGGGCCTTGCCCAGCCTCCGGTGAGGCTCGACCCCTTGCCAGAGGCCTTCGTTGCGGTATCCGGCGAGGGCTCGAGCCTCACCGGTGGCTGGGCGAGGCCCGATCTTGTCAGATTTGGCAAGGTCGAGCTTCGCCAGTGGCCGGCGATTGGCTGGAGGAAGGAGGGAGGGAAAAAAAATAGAAAAGAAAAGAATAAAAGAATAAATTAAAATTCAAAAAATATTAAAATATTATTAAAAATTGTTCACGTCAGTGCCGGTGACTGGCCGGTGTTCACGTCAGCAAAATCCGGTCAATTTCAAAGACAAAAAAGTTTAGGACTGAATTGGCATCAATGCAAAAGGTTTAAGACTGAATTAGCATAAAAAAAGATTTAGGACTAAATTGGCACAAATGCAAAAGATTTAGGGCTTTTTTGACACTTTTTCCCATCTACAAAGAGTTAATGGGACAGATTTGGATAGGAAGTGAAAGTTTGTGACTTTTACGAGGCAAAAAAAGATTTGGAGTAGAATTGAGATCTGAACTACCGGTTTTTAAGGAAATTAGGAAAAATGTTGGTTGAAGTCGGGGTTCTATATTTGTCGTGTATTGACACCCGTTTGAAAAATGGAAGTTAATCTAATATTATATGTAGCTGGTAAGTTTTTCGAGAGTTGATGCTTTGAGTTTCTTTTTTCGTCTTCGGTTTCGTGGGTCTGATAGGACGTTTATTTTATTCAACTAACTACATCAATTCGTCGTGAACTTGGATCGGGTCACTGGCCCTCGCTAGCTAAGGCCGCCATCCTATGGCCCTTTTCCAAACTCTCAACTTCTCTCTTTCTCTTTATTACTCTCACTTGATCTCACGCTCGCTCAATTCGCACTCTCACCTCAGTTAAACATTATCACTCATCTTCCTTACTCTCTCTCTCTCTATCTCTCTAAATTTGCATTAATGAAAATGAGTCAAAACAAGTTAAAATGGTCAATTTGACTCAAACTCAATCCAATCCACCCGTTTGACGTTTGATGGGCCTAGGCGTAAGAAAAACTTTCCTAATATTGTATAACACAATGGCACCGTGCAACGAAAAAAGAAGGGAATAAAATTATAGTAAGACGAATCGATTGGTGAACTTGCCTTGTATACAAAGTATAAAAATGATTAACACAGACCGACAAAATCGTGAGCCACGAGGAGGATCAGGTTTAGGAGTCGACAAGATCTTGGCATGACACGAGGCGTATCCATTTTAGGAAATTTTTTTAAGTCTTCTCCTATTGATGTGCACATTGTACACCACCAAGTTGGGACCAGTGCTTCACCCATGATTAATAATCTTTTCGTAGATTTGATTAGGCAAAATTCACTCTTTAAACTCGTCAAAGAGAGATCATGTAGGCGGCGATACTAAATGAGTGAGCGCTAATAACTCCGAAATGAATTCAACGTTGTTCTGCCGAGAACCCAGACTTCTACGGGTGGATTAAGTGCGCGTTATAGATTCGATCCATCCGACCATGAAGTGCAAATAATCTCATATGCGGATTACCCTCATTCGAACATCGGTACCGTCTTTCTAATACCAAGTAGATGCGATATATACACCACATTTTTAACCCGTTTCTTAACAGTTTAAACTTACTTCAAGCACACGATTCCATCTCATTGTCGTGTTCCTTTGGTTAGACAAGGTATGCGCTCCACATGGGGGTTGAGCTTTCTGTAACGCTTGTCTTGACCATTCCAGCTCAGCCCATTGTTGAAGATTTCCTTTCCCTTTCCTCTACACCGAATTGCATGACCTTACAGATATCATTTGATATGTTAATTGATGTTTTGCTATCTTCTAGGAATTGATAATTTATCTCGTTTGACTTTATCAGCCACACAAGATCATATCATTACAAGTCATGCATTTACCCTATTTTTTTTGTAACGTGACGTAGTACCATCTACATTATTGGCTCATTTCCTTATAGTTTAAACTATTGGAAAAAAAAAATCACGTGTCTAGAAAATAAGATTATTGGGATATTTCCATAGTGTATACAGCTTGTCAACTCAAGGTAAAGTTGCACGTTATTTAACATATTTTCCCTAATCCTCTTGCCTTGTGAAAGAGATAATTTGCTCTTTATAAAACGGCAGCACGGTTGCTTGTCAACGCTCTTCCTGAAACACCACAATGCGCATCCTAGATGCTAATGAGTTCGATCGAATGAAGGAGCTGAAGGACTTCGACAACACGAAAACCGGCATCAAGGGCCTCGTCGAAGCGGGGATAACAAAGATACCGAACATCTTCATCAGACCAGCCGATGAGCTCGCCGATGACAAGATCAATCTCTCTTTAAGCGACGTCCATCTTCCGGTCATCGACCTTAGCCAAATCCAATCGCCCGAGGGGCGCAAAGCGATCGTCAATGAAGTCAAGGCCGCGTTGAGCGAGTGGGGGTTCTTCCGGCTGGTCAACCACGGGGTCCCGCTTGGTCTGATGGAGGACATGCTGGAGGCGATCCGTGAGTTCCATGAGGGCGACCCCGAGGAGAAGAAGCGGCTCTACTCACGAGAGACAACGAGAAACCTGATATACTACTCCAACTACAGCTTCTACCACGCGCGGAGCTTGAGCTGGAGGGACAGCTTTGCCGTGATGTCGCATATGTCCGACCCGCTCGAGCTCCCAGCCGCTTGCAGGTATTGCAAATTAATTGAACTATCAGCTCAGGTAGTGCTTTTCGTCGCTACAAGGAAATCCCTAGTATCGTTTCGCAACAAAAACAATTGTCACTTTGCAGTTACTAATATTAATTGCCTGGGCCTTTATTCGAACTCGTTTGAACCGAAAGAAGTCGCGACGTGCTTAATTCGATCCGATGCTCGAACAGGGAGGCAATATGGGAGTACAGGAAGCAGATGAGAGAGCTTGGAGATTTGCTCTTGGAGTTGCTGTCTGAAGCTCTAGGGCTCAAGCCACGGCACTTGATAGAGATGGAGTGTGGCAAGAAACACGACCTGGTGTGCCATTATCATCCACCATGTCCAGAGCCAGATCTGACTTGGGGATCAACACAGCACAGAGACCCCTTTTTCTTGACTGTGCTCTTGCAGGACCAAGTCGGTGGCCTCCAAGTCCTACATCAAGATCACTGGGTTGATGTCAAGCCTGTCCCTGCGAGCTTTGTGGTCAACATTGGGGACTTTCTACAGGTTAGGCATGATCATTACACAACTTTTCTTGAACTTTTTTTGTTTTGTCCATGTTAGATAATCCAACCCAAAAACTATGAGGTTGGCTTAGCGGTTGAGACATCAACTCGTGTGTGGATTACTTGCATGGTACAGATTTGATTACTCATACTGTCAAGGGCAAATGTGGAGGTTTATATGGGTTTTGACTCATGTCTTACCTAATTCGTGAAGTTAGCGAGGGTACTTTATGAGCTCAAAGTTTACCTATTAAAAGCCTACTTCCTCGTTATTAGAAAAGGGTACTTTGTTGGGATGATCCCCATAAACAAGCTTATGTGAAGTAAAAACATGTGTGAAGTTAAAGAATATGGAATAATCCACGCGACTAATGAAATGTCAAATGTGACATGAAAACTTAAGTCCGATATTGTGTTAAAAAATCAACCAACATCTTGAACTTTAACATGAATATAAGATCATGATACCCTAGAAGCAAGTCATGCGGGTTCATTATGCGTTTTGAGTTTTGCATCTTCCTTAAAGAAGATTGAGCTCTTGGTCAGATAAGTGGCTCATTGAAATTGGGAAATAATTCCATAACCAATCTAGGCTTTGATATTTGGACCCAAAAAAAAAAATCTAGTATTTGATATTTTGATGTTGCAGCGTCGAGTAAATATTGGTACGAACATCATCAAAGTAAATGACGCTTTTCTTTTGTTAACTCGAAATCTACAAGTAAACAAGTGTCGCGACCTCCCCGAAACGAGTAATCAAAATTTATGTGTCAACAACAAGACACAGATGCATGTATCTTCTGACCTACCGAAAAAATGCAGATCATATCGAACAACAAATTCAGGAGCGTAGAGCATCGGGTGCAAGCGAGTTGAGTGGGCCCGAGAGTTTCAGCAGCCCTCTTCATCACCACAGGATCAGGCCCATCGGAGAAGGTCTTCGGCCCAATCAAAGAGCTCGTATCCAAAGAAAACCCTCCCTTGTACGGAGACTCCCGACCAAGTGAATATTTTTCCCTGTTTCAGCAGAAGAAGATTTCCTAAATAAGTCCAAGGAGCAAGAGAAACTCTGATAAGGTTGCTTGATTGTAACGTGAAACTTAAGTTGAGGATGGTCGCTGGAGTGTATTGAATTGAATGTTATAGCTTTTGTGAATTACGAGGTTATTTCGTCCTATGTTTTTACTATTAAATGTCAAGATAGTAATACATTGCGAGGAAAACTTCAGAATTCCATACTCTTTCTTTTAACACATCCTTGAGAGCCTTGCGATGATAAACGATATGTCATACACGCCCTGTTGAAAGTGTGAATAAATCGTGTTTCAATAGTATTGAAGAGCCATCCCATCATGGTATTTCGGTTAAAGGCAGTTCAGACAACGATAATTTGCAAGCAAAAGAGTCTTCATTTCTGAGAAGGATGAATCAATTGTCCATGCAATGAATGACAGGAAAACAGAAAAGGGGTGGACAAATCCATTAGATGTCCTTTGAACAAATGGATGCCTCACAACTACCAAAAATGGGGCACATGAAAACTTGAGCAATATATACATGACAGAATACGATGGGAACCACGAGTTTATTGTACGGCGAAGAAACAGCGCAACAACCGACGACCTTAACTAAGCAGCGGGAGGCCTCAGCTCATGATCGGATGACGTATCGCGGGCAGAAGGGGGCATGTATTGCCACATTGGAATGAATCCGTAGCTGGGGAATACGGGCATCTTATTCGCCCCAGCATGATATGCTGCAGCCGGATGAGGTGGCACAAACCCGGCAGGTGGGACAGTCATGGCCTTCAAATGCTGTTCCATCCTTTCTTTATCAGCCTTCAATGAAAGTTTCTCTTCTCGAAGCTCATTTTTCTCGGCCTGTTATAAAGGAGAACAAAATATCAAAGGCCAGTCAGCACAAATTCGACCTTTTAACTTTTCAGTTCTTGAGGAAGAAGTACACTTGATGAGATTCTCATTGATACCACATAAAATTCATGACTATTGAAAAACACCGATCGCTCTGCCACGTGTGCTTAGAGTTTCGACCTAGGCCAGGATTGAAAATACTTAAAGAACTTCTAAGTGCAGGCCTCCAAGCAGTTAGGAGTAGTTGTCAACAAGACCCAGTTGTAATTTATTCTACTTTCTATTCCTCAACTTTTTTTCTGCATATAGGAGAGATGTCTTCATTGACCGTTTTAACGTATGTTAAAGCCCCACCTTCAAAAGTTCCTAGAGATGAGGCTGTTCATGTGAAAGGTGAATCACTTAGCGTCGTAGTTTCAATTCAAAGACTTGTTTAAGTTTAAAGGCAAACAACCCACAAAAGATAATGCAAGTGAAATTAGTGCCTCATTAAATAAGCTTTGCCTTGAGGTTCTTAAGGTTTTGTGAATCAGAGTTACAAGTGACAACTTGGAGGATTTGTGTCGCTTAGCTAACTGTATTCCATCATATATCAGTTAGAAATCTTGCCATTGCATTTTCTGCAAGAAAATTGCCATAGCGGCCATAACGGCTTCGTATGAGCTGGAAATAATATTAGAAAATATATCACAGTTCAGCCCAAACTCAATCCAATCAGAAGTAGTTAGCTGAACCATCCAATTGTTCTGGGTTTGCAGAATCCTATAGAATCTCTGATAAATAAATTAACAAACAAGCTGACCTGCATGCTTTTTGACTAATTTTATGCGAACTCCTTTGAGTCTTTCCCTCATCATCAGTAAATTGACAGGGAAAAAGGAGAAAAGAGCAGAAAGAAGCTAGTCTCATACAAAACAGAGTGGAGTACTTCTTTTTTTTTTTTTGGTAAAGCGAGTGGAGTACTTTATATTCACTAAAACTAAACTCTAGGGTTCCCAGCACTAGTATGGCCCAAACTTTTGAACATAAAAATTGATCACATATGTCGCTCTAGCCAACAGTGATCGTAAAACATCATATGCAATTTGACCATGCTATCTGCTCACAAAGTAACATTAGACATCTGTTGCTCTAGCCAACAGTGATCGTAAAACATCATATGCAATTTGACCTTGCTATCTCCTCACAAAGTAACATTAACTTTTGATTAGTATTAAAACTTCAGGGGACTAGGCACTAAATTTCCAACCTCTAAAATCTTAGAGCATCTGTAGCTCTAGCCGACAGTGAGCATGAAATGTCATAAGCAACTTGACTGTGCTCTCTCCTCACAAAATCTTTTGATTAATATTAAAAGAAAAAAAAAACACGCTAATTTCTTCCAGTACCATAGCATCTTAGCTGACTTCTTCAACTATGTTATTTGACAGGGCTCATAGATAGTTTTGTCTCAGTATTTTAGCAAACCTAACCCCATGAGAAATTTCTAGCTCATTTGACAATAAATATTTAGGTCAGCAATGATAGAACAGCAAATACCAAAAGGAAACACAAAAGTAGACGTTTGCCATTTTTACATGCAGATCACATTGATAAGCATTACCAGGGAAGACAAGCATGGATTAACAAAAACATTAAGAGAAACAGAAGAGACACTGATCAAGGTTATATCATCGCCGTTCCATGTTAAATAAAAAAAGGTGACCCTTCCAGAAATTTTCAGACCAACCTTCAGGCATTTTATCTCTTCTTGCAGCTTTTCATTTGTTTCTTTGAGCTCCTCAGACTCAGCTCTAAGCTGGGTCAAAACTCTAATAGCATCATCAAGTATGGCCGGTTTTTCAGTTTTGACTGATCTTCCAGGTTCCAAGATAGAGCTCAAGTCTAGAAATCTGCACACCATTGCCACCATATCTTGGAATCAACCACATAAAATACTTGGAAGAAGAGAGGGAGATGCAATATGACCCTAAAAGGCACATTGTACACAGTGGTCAAATCATTGCTGCTATCCGGCATGAAACATGAATAAAAAAACCAAATTCCTAATTGAATTCCCCTAATAGACACATACATATCCAACACTAAAACCATTCGGAATTCTCTTGACTATCGACACATACCACGCAATCCATACACGAAAGTCGAGATTCAAAATGGCTCGGCCATCAGCGAGAACTCGGAGAAAGTCCATCATTGCACATAAACACGAACGCCAATACGTAGAAGTAGCAGAAGACATAGCTTTCCGGAGAAGTACATTATAAAAAATAAAAAAAATTTATTACAGGCAATCGCACACAACAATTCGAAGCGAAACCTGTCGTTCAGTCTCTCCCTCCGCAATTTCTCGCGGCAAGCTTTCGTGCGCGGCTGGCTGCACGCGTCACCGCGTCCCCTGCGGATCAGACAGAGGCAAACAGTTACGGTAAACACAGCTGGGAAGACGAAAACTACCATAGTAATCAACAAAACCACCCCAAGAGTGGAAGAGAGAGGGGGAAAAGAAGAAAAAGAGGAGAGGGGCTAATTTCCGTCAGGCACTCGAAGCAAAAGCCGAGAAAACACGGGTCCCAATCCAATGCAGCAGTTTTCACCCCGTACCCACCATCAACACCGACGAGCTGCTGCAGCAATCACTCGACAAACACAGCGAAACAACACTCGCAGGGAGAGACGGAATTACCTCTTCCGGGGACATTGCGTCCCGCCGAGCTCGTCCCCCGCCGGGAAATCGACGCCCCCCGCAGCGGCGGCGGCGGCGGCGCTACAACCAGGAATGGCAAGACGGGCGAAATCAATCGAAAAAGCTGTCAAAGCGAGAAGGGGAGAAGTTCGGAACCCTAAGAGAGGCGGGGAGGGAGCGTGGGACGCCGTACCCGGAGTCGTGGGGAGGCCAGAGCGGCGGCGGCGGCGGCAGAGGGGGAGCGGCGGAGGGGGAGGAGGGGGAGCCGCCGACGCCGCCGCCGCCGAAGAGGGAGGAGCAGTCGAGGAAGTCCCAGCAGCTGGGATCGTCGCCGAGCCCGAGCTCGAGATCCGTCGAATCCATCCGTCGAATCGGTTTTCGCCGCACAATGATTGACCACGCAGTCCGCCAATTCCTCTTGTTTTTTTCCTGTCTTCTTTATTTCACTTTCCTTCCGTCGCGTCATTAAAAAAAAAATATATATTTTAAATTTGTCCCCAGGAAAAAAAATAGATATTTTTGGCCTTTTCCTTTTCGCGAAGGACCAGCGCGGCGGCGCCACGTGGAGTTGACTGGGGTGAGGTCGTCTCGCCACGTGGCGGCTCCGGGATGGTGAGCCGACGAGCATGTCGTGGGCCGGGGGCGGGGGGGCGGTTTTGGAAGAAGCCATCGCGGGGTGACGATTTCGGATTTCCCTTTCTGTTTTTTTTTTTGCTTTTTTTTTTTTGTTTAGGATGACGGTATTCATTCATTTCTCAAGTCTTAATTTGCGAGTACACCAATAAAGCATCAACGCAAAGTAGACTCCATAGATCGGGAGGGGGGTAGAGGGTACAATTCTGTGGCAAGGAATTTTTTCTTCGAGCCTTAGCTATCCAGTCTGTCACTTTGTTGGATTTTCTATCACAATGGGTCAACTTAATATCAGAAAAAGTTTTTCAACGGATCTCTGGTTTTGAGGGTCCGTTTTTTCTAACTTTTAAATAATTTTATTTTTTAAAAAAAAAAGTCTCGTGATTTTTCAAATTTGGTTTTTATTATAATGCGAAATGCTTAAGAATTTAATTTAGGAAAAAAGTCATCAAAAACCGCAAACTATACCCTGTGACACATTTGCCCCGAACTTCTCTCCGTGATATCAAAAATCTCAAACTTGTGCATGCGTGACATATTCACTCTCCGTTAAGATTATGTTAATGAATATCGTTAAAAACTTGCATGTATAGGCGCCGGAATACAAACCGTAATAAAAATGACGTTATTTTTGGCTAAAATCATCTCACGGAACCTTGACGGAAGTTAAATGTGTTACATGGGTATAAGTTTGAGATTTTTTATGTCACAAGAAAAGTTTAAGATAAATATGTAATAATGTACATAGTTTGGAGTTTTTTATTCGCCATTAACGGATTCATTTATTATCAAATGCCATAGAACCAAAATTTTTCAACTTGTTTTCAGCCCAAACAAAGGCTATAACACGGTATGCTTTTTTTGAAATTAAATTACATGAAAACATTTTTTAGCTACAAAAAGTTTTCAGGGAAACAAACGCAACCTATTGTAAGTGTATTTTCCATCAAAAAGGCCGAAGCAAAATGAGTTGTTTTGTAACACTTTGCTTTGCACCATGAACGGTATGAATTAGCCGTTGTATCTACTTAGATAGCTGCATTTAAGAATGCTCAGACCATGGAAATTGTATGGTGGTGAGTTTGAAGTTGTGCTTCCTGCAAAATCTTTTTGATTGCCCCATTGTCAATAGATCACTTCCAAATGAAGTCCACTTTTCAGACATATAGATGTTCCTTCTATCTCCTGTGGTTCATCAGAAACAATTCATCACTGCCCTTTGCAAAAGCATCGCCCTTGCCGCTCTTTAACTGACCGAGACATCGGCTGTGCAGACATGAATATCCCACATTTTGAGGATCACTGTAAAATGTTGCTTGCTGTAAGAACTGGCCAAATTGGAGGTAAGAATGAATATGTCAAAGATTGAACTTTATTAAACTGGAAGCATCATCCAATGAACAGATGACATACATGTTGGTGTCCCTTTCACGAAGGGGTTTTGACATTTTCGTTAGAATAACTACAGCAGCTGTTAAACTAGACATATCAGATGACGCGAGCTTCGTTCTTAAGCTTGTCGATTAGCTCGTCGACAGAGGAGATGATGACCCCGGCTTTCCTCTTGGGAGGTTCCATCACTTGAAGGACCTCCAGATCGGACTTGATCTCGACATTCAAATCTTCTGGGGTATACTTCTTTATGACCTTGGATTTGGCTTTCATGATGTTGGGAAGCGTCGCGTACCTTGGCTGGTTCAGTCTCAAGTCGGTGCTGCACAAGATACATGATTCAGAGGCTGTTAGCTACCGGAGATTGAGCACAAATAGGAAGTCCAATAAAGGTCAAAACCATAATCAAGAAGAAACCCATTGGTTTCCCTATCTCAATATTATAACTTCTATTGCAAAAACGATCTAGCCCCCAAACTAGTAAAAGGTTTGCAACCCCTATCTCAATAAGTTGAGAGTTAGAAAAAAAGGATTTGTGTTCTCATTGAAAGCGCAGAAACCAAACCATTGAGTAGGTTCTATGTATACTAAATGAAACATGACATTTAAACATTGCAGTTGCCAAGCTAAATATAAAATTGGCAGACTTTTAGGAGCTCCTAAAGTATGAAATTTTTCCCATCCACCCAGACTAATCTCCGCATGGGAACTTTTTCATCTTGAAAGAAAACGAGGAAATCCATGTCGCTAGGCATATGGTGATTGGTCAGGGTAGAGGAGGACACCTTGCTCAGAGAACACCTACTAATTTCTCAAGATTTAGAAGGACTAAAAAGTATAAGAAAAGCGATGTTCTCACGTAATGACTGCTGGCAAGTCCAAAAGCACAGTCTCGATGCCACCATCCACTTCCCTATCCACAGTCGCAACCTGCTTTTCTTTGTCCAGGGTAACCTACTAAAAGGGCAGACACAAATCATCAACCAAGAAAAAGCACCCAAATGCAAACGTGGAAAAGGACAGACGGCAAGAGAACATAAAGGAAGATGTGATCAAATCTTGGATAAACACCAATAGGAGATGTAACTCGGCAGAAATCAATTATCAGCATACTCAAGAAATCTTATCAACTGAAGTGTAAACTATATCAACTCCTGGATAACATTAGATATCTTTCTTCTTGCCAAACCCCAAGAGAGATAGTTAACTATCATTAGCTGAAAGTTAGAGGACGGTATGAGGCACACATTTACAAAAGCAGAAAAAACAAAAAATCTCCCAAAACAGCAAAATCAGTGCCAGAAGTTAAAATAAGGATGACAAATGGGAGCATTCAAAACAGAAGCCAAATTAACCCCCTCTAGAACTAAAAAGATTAACTGCCAAAGGCAAGTTTCAAGACAATCAAAAGATTCATATCCTTTGGCAGTTTCAAGACAATGAAAAGATTCATATCCTGTGACCATATCCTGTGGCCATACTTTGTTCAGCGGGAGGTTACTGTTCAATTGACTGATACATAATAACCTAGAGTCATAGATCCCTCTAGACCTAAAAGATTGACCGGTGAAGGCACATTGCAAGAATTTGAAAAGATGGATACATTAGTGACCTTAAACCACGCCCTCGTCACCACAAATTAAACACTTAAAGACAGCAGAAGGGGGTTCACGGAAGGAAGTGTGGAAACAAGAGATATGAGACTATTACTAAAGAAAAGGATATAGAGTCCTGAAGATCAATTTGTACTTACGGGACAAAGCCCCAGGAATCTTACACAACCAAACGAAGGATCAGAATCATAGCAAATCTTACCTTAGAAGCAAAGGTTCCTTGTGGCCATTTCAGCAGCCCTGCAAGCATTTGCCCTGTTTGATTGCAGTCATCATCAATGGCCTAATCACAAATCATCATCATTAGCTCATACAGGATGGAAAGCATTATACACAAAGTGAAGGAAGTACATCAAATAGGTAAATGGCTCAAGACTAAACTCTAAATTGATCATTATAACGGGTAATCATATGAAACCAAATTTGGATCCAATAACAACAGAAAGTATATCAATTGATTGAGAACTACTTGGTATCTCCAAATTTTTGCAACTTAGTCAAGATAAAGCAGTGACAATTGCATCTCAATTTTCAGAAATTAATGCCCCAAGCAACATCGTCCTAATAGTTTTAGGGAATGCTTCATGCCAATCATTCAGACACTTTAAAGCTGAACCTGACTCCCTTCTACATAAACTCTTCAAAAGCTGGAGGAAGATCTCAAATCCATGATGATATAACAATTTTAGGAACTAAAGCCAACAACAACTCCAAACATAAAGGACTTCAGCAAAACCAAATAAGAGCTACAATAGAAACAGCCAAACAACATCCCATTCATAATCTTAGCCTCAATTTCTAGATAAAGTGAAGAGCTTGTGAGTGGTCGAAAATGCTTTCCAGACAACATTTTGTCTTCTAAAACACAAGATTGAAGCTTTCGCTTGCTAAGTTGTCTATCAGACACTGTTCCATAAACCGAGCTAAAAACTGTAGCATACCAACAGACAGCCTCAGACTAAATTCCTTTCGTATGAACACCCCGTGCAAAACCCGAAAGCCATCTCTCTCTCTCTCTCTCTCTCTCTCTCTCTCTAAGAACATTTCCTATCCAACACATCATCAATTCAAAGGAGACCATCTTCCTACCCAGCACCATGTCATTCTAGCAATCCATCAAAAACATTTCTTTATTCAATACGACACAAGCTTTTAGCACAGTCGTTCATCGTCAACAAGCACACCCTCAATCTCTCAATTCCCACTTCCCTTTCGATCTTTAGACAAACAACAGCAAACAACAGGGCAAAGAAATCCAAAAACCTGCTTGCCCAGAATGAGGAGCCCGGGCTTCTCGGCCTCCACGAGCGCCGTCAAGACCTTGGCCACAGACAGCGGGTTCAGACCACCCTCCTCCTTGAACTCCACGTGGATCCCCCGGTCGGCGCCCATCGCGAGCCCCGTCCGCAGCGTGTCCACGCACTGGGCGGGCCCGACGCTGACGGCCACGACCTCCGAGGCCAGCCCGGATTCCCTGATCCGGAGGGCCTCCTCGAGCGCGATCTCGCAGAACGGGTTCATCGACATCTTCACGTTCTGGGTCTCCACGCCGGTCTGCGAAGAAATTCACGAGATTAGCAAACCGGGTCGATTGAAGAGGAGGAGGAGGAGGAGGAGAAGAAGCAGAAGCGGAGAGGGGAGTTACCTTGTCGGGTTTGACTCGGATTTTGACGGCGTAGTCCACGACGCGCTTGACGGCCACCATGATCTTCATGGCCCTCCTCCGGCGCTTCGCTCCGGCGAGAGAGAGAGAGAGAGAGAGAGAGGGAGAGAGTTGGAAGTGGAAGCGAAGGAGCAGGAGATGACTCAGAACTCAGAAGAGATAAACACAGTACTAACAAAGAAAGAGATCCGTGCGCGCATTAGGTGGATTAGTTTTGTCCTTTTGTTCTTTCTTTTTACTTCGACAGGACTCCACGTGGCGCCACGTGTGCGCCCAAATTGCTTCGGAACTCGACAACCTTGATTATTATTGTAAGGGAAAAAAAGCCCCAGTGCCTCGCTCATTTATCTTAAATTTTTTATGAGACCACAAATCACAAAATATGCTCATTGCGACACGTTTTATTCTAAATTTTTTTTTTCGTGACATAAATAGCCTCAAATTTATACTCATGTAATACATTTAGCCTCCATTAAGGTTCCGTCATATGATTTCTCAGCCAAAACAGCGTCGTTGTTGTTTTACTTAAGTCACGTGAGCGCCATATCAACAGTATTGCAGGAAGATTTTAGCCGGTCTCCATTGAAGGTAAATATGTCACGTAGATATAAATTCGGGATTTCTGGTGTCACAAAAAAACAGTTCAAGGTAAATGTGTCCTCATGAATATAGTTTGGATTTTTTTTTTGTGGCTTTTGTCCTTATTGGTTAAATATATTGCGAAAGGTGAAGAAAGGAAATATAGAAAATTGAGAATGGTAGACAAAATGATCGTGAAATTAAATTAATAGGGGAGTACTGTATGTTTAACTGGAAGTTGGAGGAAAACTTAGGAGGATTCATGAGCTTTTAAATTTGATGGTCACAAAAATATTTTGATGGTCGATGTGGATGAAATTAGTTTTTTAAACAAGAGAATAGGGATTGGGATTGGGATTTCAATTGACATATTATGGTTGCAATTTCGGGTCGTATTCTAATTCACAACCTCTCAAGTACCATAGCGAAAATCGTGAATAGAAGAAGTTCACGATACCAATGAAGAAGTTGCCACATGGACGATCTAGAATTTTAACCTTGGAACGACACATTTACTAAGGGAAAATGAAATTATACGAAAATTATCCAATAGCATGCATTTGTACCTTTGGATTTCTTTCCTCAAAATCAACCAAATATAATGAAATGAATAAGTTTAATAAATTTAATGTAATGATCCGTGAAATTTTCAAATTAACTTTATTCTAGTAAAAGGTTATTACAAATTAGTAATGAAATAATTTACCTGACAAAATATTTATGCCCGTTTACAACAAAAGTCACGGTTACCGCAAATATTCATTAACTAGCTATGTGATTAGAAGTTATAATTAGGAAATTTCGTGACTATGATTTGCATTAATTCTTTTGGATTATGGACAGACCCAACGAATGGCCATCACTTAAAAGGAAGCATTTGTTTGAGGAAAAGTGTTTTCCCGAAATTAGTTTTCTGGACTTCCACCCGTTTGGTTCGCTAAAAATGATTAGTCAATCAAAAATACTTTCAGGTCAAGGAAAATATTCATACATAAAGGTTGTGTTCGTTTGGCGGAAAATGTTTTCTAGGAAAACATTTTTTCGGGTTTTCTGGTGTTTGGGGGCGGAAAATAAATTAACCCCAGAAAATATTTTCCCCTGAATGAGTGAAAACATGATGAAAAGTAAGGAAAATGTTTTCCGCTTTTGAAAAGCGGAAAACATTTTCTACCGGCCTCCTTCTTTTCCCGCCAGCCATTGGGGCCATTGCCGCTGGCAGCTGCTGCCGGTAGCCGCCGCCGGTCGCCGAATACCGGAAAATATTTTCCAAAACTTTTTTAGATTTCAGCTGAACACCGGAAAATTATGCCATTTTCCAGGAAAATGACTTCTCGGAAAACATTTTCCAAAAATGTCATATTTTCCGTCAAACGAACGGAGCCAAAATTAGAAAAATGAATTCCTATTTTTAAGAAAGTGAAAACAATTTCGATAATTGCTATTCTTGAATTTTTTTAACATTTTTTTCTTTTCGTTTTCTTTTCCTTCTTCCTTCTTCACGGCAACTGGCCATAGGCACGAGCCAACGAGAGCTAGCCTCGGGCGAGGTCGAGCTCGAGCCTCGTCGGGATCTGGTGAGGTTGAGCTCGCCCGAGGCTAGCGAGTTTGAGCTTCGCCAATATTTGGTGAGGTCGAGCCTTGTTGGTCCTAAGGCTGGCTAGGTCGGTCCTTGCTAATGGCTTGTCGCAGCCGTTGCAGAGGCCCAGCAACCGACGGAGGAGGAAAATAAAAAAGAAAGAAAAGAAAATAAAGAAAAATAAAAGAAAAATAAAATTAAAAATTATTTAAAATTTAGATTTTTTTTTTGTCTAAGATCAATTCATGAGATTGAAATCATTTTTCAAATAAGATCCAAACAGCAGAAAATGTTATCAGTTGCACATCATCAAACAAAGGAAAAATGATCATTTTTTTTAAAATAATTTTCCGAAAGGTATTTTCCTTTATGATGAAGTTTTCCCCCAAATAAACCACCCCAAGTTTGGCCTGATTTTCATTTTAGTGGAATTAGCATTCCTATCTTATGATATGTCTCGTTTAATTAAGTAATTATCCATCATCACGTTGAGCCTGTGCAGAAATTGCACTGCTAGATGTAGAGAGAGACAAAAGCAAAATTAACAATAGGATTTTTTGTAAATTAAGTGGGACGTCACTTTGATTTGGACACGGGATTTGTTAGATCCAAATCAAATGCTTAATCACTTACTTAACATTAAGGACTCTTATGTTAACAACTACTTGGCTTCTTTTATAAAGTCACCAGGCCAGGTATTTTTTTGTACTTTTATTCTAAACATAGTGGATTTGCCTGAGTGAAATGAATAATCTATATGGTGCTTGAAAGAAAAAGCTAGCACAATGTGTCATATGTCAAAACAAAAGTACTTTATGCGTCTATGATGTAACTTCAACGTCGGACAAAAAGCTTTAATAATTCACATTAGACCCTACTCACATTGGACCTAGTGCCCAGGTCTTAACTAGTATATTAAAATTAGAATAAAATAATATTTCTTAATATAAAAAAATCAATTTATGAATTCTTTATTGTTTTTTTCTTTCTTCTTTTCTTTCCTTTATTTTTTTTCCTCAATTGTGAGCTAGTGAGGTCGCCGACCACAAGCGAGATGTAGGCGAGGGTCTCAGCGCCCTTGCCCGCCACATACAAGGGCGTTGGGCCCTCGTCCAGATCTAGGAGAGGGCGCGGGGGCACTCCCCTAAACCAGGCGAGGGTCATCGGCCCTCGCCTATGGTTGGCGATGGTCTGTCGGTGATCTCACTAACTCAAATTGTAAAAAAAAGAAAGAAAAGAAAAGAAAAAAAAGAAGAAAAATTTGATAAAATAAAAAAATCATTAAAACATTTTAAATTTGTAAATTTTGTTTACGTCAGCGCCGGTCACTTGCCACTTAGAATGGCCGGGCATCTATGTCAGCAATTTTCTGCCTATATTGGCCGAATAGATTGAGTTGGTACCAATGTAAAAAGGTTGGGATTAAATTGGCATACATGCGTGTTTATTTCTTTGATTCACACGCACGTGAAGGGAGAAAAGTGATTTGTTATCAATGTGAAAAGGTTTATGACTAAATTGATCAAATCGAAAGGTTTAAGACTAAATTGGCATACTTGCGCGTTTATTTCTTTGATTCACACGCACGTGAAGGGAGAAAAGTGATTTGTTATCAATGTGAAAAGGTTTATGACTAAATTGATCAAATCGAAAGGTTTAAGACTAAATTGGCATACTTGCGCGTTTATTTCTTTGATTCACACGCACGTGAAGGGGGAAAAGTGATTTGTTATCAATATGAAAAGGTTTATGACTAAATTGGTCAAATCGAAAGGTTTAAAACTGAATTGGTACAAATACGACATGTTTAAGATTTTTTTGATACTTTTCCCCCTTCACGTGCGAGTGCTCGGCTACTCTCATGTGCTTTTATAGCCAATCAAAGAGATGAACGCACATGTAAGCCATATTATTTAAAAAAAAAAAATCTCAACTCAATTTGTTATTTGCAAAAAAAAAAAAGAAAGAAAGAAAGAGAAACACATGGATTTACTTTAACATGATAAATATGATCACTTCTTATGACGAAAAATCAAATAACTGTGCATCTTCAGTGTAAAATTACATTCAAACAATAAAGTACGTAGATCATGATCTAAGTGACCAGAAGGTCACATCTTCATTCGAGTGTTTTCCACAAAGATGTCCCTGCAGAATGTGCTAATTTTCACCCCTTGGGAGGAATGATCTTAGAAAGAACAAATAGGGAGACAAAGCAGGATTAATCGTCCTAAGTAATCTCCATGTCATCATCAATCCAGACATGCCGCTGAAAAGTCCAAACGATTTTGCAGAACTGAAGGGACGCATGGAAGAATTCAAAGGGGGGGGGTGTGGTTCACTGCAGTTGAAAGAGCCGTCGCCTTCACCACACAGCGACCTTTCGGGCCGTCGATGGCTTTCTTTTTAGAACTTTCTTCTAAGGCACGTGCGGCTGTTCTCAGCCACCTCGTGTGTTTACCCGTTCGTCTCGATCGCCTGGTAAATTCAAATTACAGGTGGAGAATCAGATATGGGATGAAGCCAGATTATAAAAGCGTTGCTTCTTTCGACGCAGCCATGCAGGACAAACACAAATGGACGACGAGAACCCGAAAGGATTGATCAAACACGAAGGAGGAGGAGGAGAAGAAGTTGGGGTACCTCAAGTGCGATACAAAGGCGTCCGGAGGCGGCCATGGGGGAAATACGCGGCCGAGATCCGTGACTCCACGAGGCGTGGCGCTCGGGTTTGGCTCGGGACATTTGGCACCGCCGGGGAAGCGGCTCGGGCCTACGACCGTGCCGCATACGCCATGAGAGGTCACACTGCTATCCTCAACTTCCCTAATGAATTCTCTTTAGGATGTACGGCGGCCAGTTCTTTGCCGTTGCCGTCTTCTTCTGTTTCTTCGTCACCGAAGAAGCAAGGCGGCGATAAACGGGTAGTGGAATTTGAGTGCTTGGACGATAATTTGTTAGAGGAACTTCTTGAAAACGAAGAGAAAAAGAACATGAAATGAGATTGCTGTTCCATGTCCTTGTCAATGAAATGTTGGGTTGTCCAAGTGTTTTGTGCTTTGAATAGAATTCAAATTTTGAAATATTATGAAAAAAAGTTCGTATATTGCTTTATGCATCGACTTTTGTCTATTGTGAAAGTTTCAAGTGTTTTGAATTAAAAGCAGTCAAAAAGCGTGAACTACAAGATTTAAGAAAGGCATTAAGAAATCACTTAATAAATGAGCGATTTTGCAAACTAATTTAGTACGTGGAGTATTACTTTATTTTGTTCACTTATTCTTGAAATTTTTTTCTTTTTTGGTTTGATATCATTGCTTTTGGCGATTGCCCCTCATCACGGAGGCTGCTTTAATAGTTTTTTAAGCCAAAAAGGCAAATATATAGAGTGCCAAAGAAGAAGTCAAATTGCACTTGTTCTTCTCTGTGGAAAAGTGGCAGCTCTTAGAAGAAAATATCGTTACGGCAGTTGATGTCCAGATCCATCGCTGATTATTAAAAACCTCGGAGTATTCTTTGAATCTCAGCTGTCTACTTCGACAATCTCTTACAATTCATAACGTCACCTGATGAAGTGTTCTTTCTTGCTACTCAACAATAATACAATATATACCCTCGGAAAGTAGGAACCGCAAGGTTTGGGATCTTGAAATAGAGCAATTTCGATATCGAAAGAAGTCGAAATGCACGGTCTATTAGGCAAATCTACGACATGCTACTCTCATCGAGAGTTGTTTGATGCTTGTGGCATATGATTTTGGAGCTTGTGGTTGAATATTTCTCGTGTATGGTCAACAAATTTGTGATCACATGTAGGATGACCAACAACATGCGTGCTGATAATTTCTCGATTAGTATCATGCTGATCTTTGTTCACTTTTAATTTGCTAGATTACTTATATGATTCTTGGTGTCATCGTTTATTCAGATATTTATGTGAATTTTTAACTTGGGTTAGTTGCCTGAACATATTGAAAATTTATATGAGTTTCCCATGTGAACTAACTAATTTATGAGGATAATTTTAGGGTTTCAACCATTTTCCAATGACCCAACACCAAGAATTACACTTGGAATGCCTTTTTCCCTTAGAAGAACCTGAAACGAGCTTTGTACGGGTAGCTTTGTTGCTAGATTCTTGAGTGAAAAAGTTTAGATTTAGGCCCCATAGGATGTAGCACAGATGAGTGGTGCTACTTCAATCCCACCCGTACGGTGTGAGTGCGAATCCTTCACCTGGCGTTGCACCTTCAACTTCAGCTAGGGGTAGGGGCGATCCCAGCACCCCGTGAGGGGTTTACTTGCCACAACTAATGTAAGTAAGGACGATGCGAATGCCACTCGCGGTTATAAAAAAAAAAGCCTAGATTTAGAAACGAAGAATCGAAGGTTGAGATATAGTCAAAATAACGCATTTATCACAAACACACACACGGAGCGCACCGCGTCCATATACATCCTAATCTCATATCATGTACTAACATCAATGACACATACGCTTCGGGTTGGTATCCATCCGGATCACCTAAGAATTCTTCACTTTTACTGCACCACCGAGATCAAATCCACTTTTGGAAGAGCATCGTGATCTTCGCTTTTGGAAGAAAGTCATTCTAATCACTATAGTGACGGTACTGTAGATTTAAAGCCCAGATTGGCTAGGCAAACATGGAAACAGGTTCTCTCTGAAATCCTACCGCTCTTGCACCTGCTAGAGATTACAATTTTCAGTCATTTTATGATTCAATCTGCCTCACCATCATTAAGATAAAATTTTCCATAAAATTTATCCATGTAATCTTTAGCAGATTTATGTAAACCTTCTTAGCATCTAGTGGGCTCTGGATCTCTATACGTTTCATCTGGACATCTTTTAAACTAAGGTATATATTGGTGATTAATGTAGCTGGGGATGAATGAATGTTTCCTCTCTCTACCAGCTCTTTTAACCCCTACACTATAAGGGATTGACAGCAGCCCTAAGCCGCATTCAAAAGGAATTTAAAGCCGGCATTTGGTCCATCCGCCTGAATTGTGTCTAACACCAGTATTGACTTTACTCAGCTGGAAAGTTGATGCAATCAAACACCAAGAACAAACTACACAACTCTTGTCTGCTGTTGTGCCTAAGATCTTTTGGTAATTAGACTACGTGCGTTGAGCTCCTCTTAAATAACGTTGTCGCTGTCCAACAATGCGTTAATTGTGCAAAATTTATTCTCCATTAATTTGCATTGGCAAAAGAGAAAGAAATGGAAATACATCAATTGTAATATCCTAGATCTAGAGGTTTTTTTCCCCCCTCAAGAACCGGTTAAAAACTCCAACATGATAAAGCACAATAGAGAGAAGATTGCTTTTGCATTTACGGCTTCTCTTTTGACTATCTCCGTTCGAGATAGTATGATAGGTGTAGTCGTATAGCCATCTCCTTCTCCTTTTACTGAAGATGCAGACGTAGTTGTTGTTGGATTGATTCTTCTTAGGACCATGTCCCATTCCTCTGGATCTTTGGATCTAATAAAGCCTTCATTTTATTCTTCCAGAAGGAGATGGCGATACAATTGCACCTATCATACTATCTCGAACGGAGATAGTCAAAAGAGAAGCTGTAAATGCAAAAGCAATCTACTCTCTCTATTGTGCTTTATCACGTATTGAGTATAATAAAATTTTGTCTTGTGATACAGCAAAAGAAATATGGGATAGCCTTTATATCACCTAAGAAGGAACGTATCAATAATTTGCATTGGCAAAAGAGAAAGAAATGGAAATACATCAATTGTAACATCCTAGAGCTAGAGGGTTTTTTTCCCCCACAAGAACCGGTTAAAAACTCCAACAAAACAGCATCTTTCGATGACGAAAATAAGAAGATATAATTATGTCTTTGCAAGATTCAATCTAAGAGATGCAATTAACTCTTCCAAGTAATGCATTATTTAATGCTTAAATATAAAAAAAGCTCATTAAGATTATCTCTTGATGCACCAAAAGACTCTTGCAAGTGGCTTTTAGACTAGGGCATTCCTTCTTTTTTTCTTTTGTTGGTTCCTCAAATTCAGGGGGTCATAATATGCTTCAACCCCACACACAACATTTTGAAATAATTTAGATCGATCCGTTGCTATTTTCCTTCATTTTTGCAATTTTTCCTCACTAATTGGCAGTCACCACCGAAACCCTAATCACCCAAAGTGAAGTCAGAAACAGAATTGGCTTAGCAACACGCCTAAAGGCTCCAACCAGAATCAAATTACTAGTTCATCGATCCAAAACACACGCACACTCCGTTACCACAACTGATATGACCATTACTGGCAATGATCATCACGAAGAAAGGAGAGAGAGAGAGAGAGAGAGAGAGAGAGAGAGAGAGAGAGAGAGAGAGAGAGAGAGCTAAAACTTTACCACTCACTTGCTTTTCCTCTCTTCTTGTTCGAGGAGATCCTCCAGAACCTTATCATCCAAACACTCGAACTCGAAAACTTCTTTCACTTTCTCACTAGAGCTACTTCTCTTGTGATGAGAACTCTCCCCGTGATCCACGGACGAGGGCAATGATTCTTCAGGAGGACGTGCAGATTCTGCACCTTGAGAGTACTCCTCACTGGGAAAGTTAATAATAGCTTGATTACCCCTCAACCGTATCGCGGCGCGGTCGTAAGCCCTAGCAGCTTCTTCGGCGGAATCGAACGTCCCAAGCCACACACGAGCTCCGTGCCTCGACGGATCTCGAATTTCAGCTGCAAACTTCCCCCACGGCCGTCGCCTCACTCCTCGGTAGCGAACCGATCCTTCTTTTTCTTCATCTTCCCTTGCCTTTTGAGGGTTTTCCATGCTGTTTCCCTTTTGTTTTTGTCCTTTAGAACAGCACCGGAGAAACAAGAACTATCAAGCCGATGTTTGAATTATTGGCTTCTTCTTTCCTTTTGTTGGAATTTTTTTTTGTGGAGGAGTTTAAAGATGGAACGCAGTAGCAGGTAATATAAATGATGAGTGGCGGAGTTTTATATTTTAGTCAATGTTGAAGATGTTGATGTTCTCTGAAACGTGGATTGACCATCTAGTACTTTCAACGCAACTGGACTAAGAACCATATTCACATGTGATGATCTGCTTCTCGGAAAGTTCATAAAGGTGGGTAATCAACTCTTTGGGACCATTTCTTCTGTGAATTCAACGTTGTTCGGGGCTGCTCTTTGAATTACTGTCGACCGCTATTAGTGTTTATGTATGGTTAATATCTAATCGTACTGTATGATGTGAATCCAAGGGTCATGGTTCTTGCGAATAGATAATTGCCTCGGTAGAAGGATTGGTAACATGTATGTCACACGACACGTATTACGTAGCAAACTCTGAGCACTTCCCATTATTTATCTACTTCATGTTCCCACATTTGTTGTTGTTAGCTATGGAGTTGGATTTGACTATCCACGATGGACCAACTCGATCTAGACCACCTAGATCATAAATATGCATAGAAAGAGAATTTGACACATGATTTTGAAATTTGTTCTCTAAAGATATCTTTAAAATTATTCCCTGCAAAAGGGACGGGTGATTTCCATGAAAGGCCTTTGCACAAACTCGTACATTTGCCTTTTGGGCTCCTAAGGCAGGTATATATAGGCAAGCCGTTTTGCTTATGATCACCTGCTATAAGGATGTTACCAAAGAAGTAAAGAAAAAAGAGTTGGTAATTTGATGAGAACTTCAGGATTTGTCTATATAGCTTCAAAGAGACATTTAAGATTGCAAATAATAAACTTGAGAAATAACTTGTATTAAATTGTCGTCAACATACACTAGATTAAACATGTAAGAACTTGGTTTATGATTCACTAATTATTCGGGATAAGTACAAACAAAGTCCTAAAACTTATCATGACAATATAATTAAGTCCCAAAACTTTTAATTGATTGCATTTCTGTGATAAGTTTTAGGACTTTATGCTTTTGTCCCTAATTATTATTACATTTTAAACGCTGCTACTCTTGACATATTTCAATAAGAAGATCCTTAGCTATGGTTTATTGTTGTAATCTTCTTGACCTTGAAAGAATATTTAAGATAATTTGCAATCTACACATATGTAAGGATTGCTAAGTTCGGTTAAAAGATAGTTGAAACCATTGTGGATAATGAGAGGAAAACCCAAAAAAAGTTGAAAAGGGATTGCAAAGAATTGAGCTCGAGTCTTCTAACTCAGATACCAACTTTAAATTAAGGGTCTATATGTTTGAAAGATAATTGTTTCTGGGAAATTATCTTTTGATTTTTTAGTATTTGGATGACATAAAACTAATCGATTTACAGAAAACGTTTTCCATGGACTAAAAACAATAAGCTTAGAACAATAAACCACCAAACAAATGAAAACTAGTCATTTTTCTTGAAAATAAATTTCATGGTAAATATTTTTCTTTATCATAAATATCCCAGAATTAGTTTTCTGAACTTTCACCTGTTTGGTTTGTCGAAAATAATTAGTCAATCGAAAACACTTTCTGGTCAAGGAAAGTATTCATGCATAAAATTAGGAAAGCGAATTCCTAAATCTAAGAAGGTGAAAGCACTTTCCAAAATTGTTCCTCTTGAATTTTTTAATATTTTATTTTTTTATTTTTTTTTTATTTTTTTTATTTTTTTTCTTTTTATTTTTTTTCTTTTCTTTCTTCCTCCTCCGCCGGTCGCCGGGCCTCGGCAACCGGCCATAGGCACATGTCGGGAAGGGCCGGCCTCGAACGAGCTTGAGCCTCACCGGATTTTGGCGAGGTCGAGCCCCGCAGGCCTCTGGCGAGGCTGGAGCTCGCCGAGTTCTGGCAATCTCAACCTTGCCTGAGGCCGACCATTGCCGAGGCACGGTGGCTAGCGGAGGAGGAAGAAGGAAAAAGAAAAAGAAAGAAAAGAATAAAAAGAAAAGAAAAAACAAAATAAAAAATTATTTAAAAAATCAAATATATTTTTTTTGAGATAAAGTCATGAAATTATTTTCCAAATAAGATCCAAACATCAAAAATTATTTTTGATCACATATTACCAAACAAAGGAAAACTAATCATTTTCCCGAAAAATGATTTTCCAAAAAGTATTTTCCTTTATCATGAAGTTTTCCCCCAAGCAAACGCACCCTAAGTATGCAAATCACCTTCTTTAAAAGTTTAAGCAATTAATTTGTGGGCTTCTTGCAGTTTATAGCCTAGCAAAGATGAACAAAAGATAAACTTTTGAGTTTGATTGATACATATTATCATGAATTCCCATACTACTTTTCTGCCAATGCTTTCTTTCTCTCGAGAGCACCTTGGCGGTAGCATATGGAATGTAGTCCGACCTTTGAAGCACATCATTGGTGAAAGATCATGTTCATCATGTGTGTACTCGACATATGCTGTGCGCTTTGTCTTTCCAAATAATATGGGGGTACATGGAAAAATGTTTCCCCATCATCGTTTCGACATTGATGGAGAAACTTGTCAAGGTCGAATCTCTAGAGAGTGAAGAGTCCAGAACTATGACGGTGACCCTTTCATACTCCACGAAGGAAGAATGGAGCAACGCAATGAGATGAGAATTCGATTAGATGAGGCAGAACCAGGATTGGAAATTAATGGGCTCTCGATCTAACTAAGTTGCGAAATGAATGTGGATCTATCAAGAAGGATAATGGGCAAATTTGATGGGGAAGGGTCATACACAAGTTTGCTATGATAATCAAGCTACGATATGTGATCAAGAGGTCCAGTTTCTGGCAATCAAGGGCGCGCATGGAATCCATTCTACTCCAGAAATCAAATTCTTGCCAGAAATTGATTTATGAAATTCTTGCCAAAAATTGATTTTTGGAGAAGAAATCTGTTTGATAAAACAGGACTAATTCTGCTCCAGAAATTGATTTCTGGAAGAGAAAACTGTTTGATGAAATAGAAGGAAATTTCTGCTTTTGGAGGTGCCCAAAAATTTAAATTTCACTCAAAGTGGGTAGGTACAGGTATTCTAAGCCATTCTGTGAATTTTTAAATTTTTTTATTTTTGATTTTTTTTTGGCACCACAAAAAATTTAAATTTCACTCAAAGTGGGTGGCCACAGGTATTCTAAGCCATTCTATGAAGTTTTGAAGTTTTTTTATTTTTTGATTTTTTTTCGGGCACCTCAAAAAATTTAAATTTCACTCAAAGTGGTTGGCCATAAATATTCTAAACCATTATGTGAAATTTTGAAATTTTTGATTTTGAAATTTTCTTTTGGGCACCTTAAAAATTTTAAATTTCACTCAAAGTGGGTGGCCAAATGTATTCTAACCCATTCTGTAAAGTTTTGAAATTTTTAATTTTATGATTTATTTTGGGCACCTAAAAAAATTTAAATTTCACTCAAAGTGGGTGGCCACATGTATTCTAAACCATTATGTAAAATTTTTTATTTTTTTATTTATTTTGGGCACCTCAAAAAATTTAAATTTCACTCAAAGTGGGTGGCCACATGTATTCTAAACCATTATGTAAAATTTTTTATTTTTTGATTTATTTTGGGCACCTCAAAAAATTTAAATTTCACTCAAAGTGGGTGGCCACATATATTCTAAGCCATTCTGTAAAATTTTTTATTTTTTTATTTTTTTTGGGCACCTAAAAAAATTTAAATTTCACTCAAAGTGAGTGGCCACAAGTATTCTAAGCCATTCTGTGAAATTTTGAAATTTTTGATTTTTTTTGAGCACCTCAAAAAATTTAAATTTCACTAAAAGTGGATGGCCACAGGTATTCCAAGCCATTTTACAGAATGACTTAGAATACATGTGGCTACCCACTTTGAGTGAAATTTAAATTTTTTGAGGTGCCCAAAAAAATCAAAAAATAATAAATTTTACATAATGGTTTAGAATACCTGTGGCCACCCACTTTGAGTGAAATTTTAATTTTTTTAGGTGCCCAAAAAAAATCAAAAAATTAAAAATTTCAAAACTTCACAGAATGGCTTAGAATACATTTGGCCACCCACTTTGAGTGAAATTTAAATTTTTTGAGGTGCCCAAAAGAAAATTTCAAAATAAAAAATTTCAAAATTTCACAGAATGGCTTAGAATACCTATGGCCACCCACTTTGAGTGAAATTTAAATTTTTTGAGGTGCCCGAAAAAAATCAAAAATAAAAAACTTCAAAATTTCCTAAAATGGTTTAGAATACCTGTGGCCACCCACTTTGAGTGAAATTTAAATTTTTTGTGGTGCAAAAAAAAATCAAAAATAAAAAATTTTAAAACTTCATAGAATGGCTTGGAATACCTGTAACTACCCACTTTGACTGAAATTTAAATTTTTGGGCACCTCCAAAAGCAAAAATTTCCTTCTGTTTCATCAAACATATTTCTCTTCCAGAAATCAATTTCTGGAGCAGAATTAGTCTTGTTTTATCAAACAGATTTCTTCTCCAAAAATCAATTTCTTGCAAGAATTCCATAAATCAATTTATGGCAAGAATTTGATTTCTGGAGTAGAATGGATTCCATGCGCGCCTTTACTAAACGCATTTTTGTTCCAGAATGCAAAAATTGCTTCAGAATGCATTCCGGAAATTTTTTAACAAACGCATTTCTGTTCCGGAATGCATTCTGGAGCAGAATTTCTGCTCTAGAATGGATTCCATGCGCGCCCTAAGTGTGTGCGTGTCCTTATAATGATTGAGCCACTATAACTCGAAAAAGTCCAAATCATATATGACCTATTTAGAAACGTCCAGTAAGAATACACATGACCATGCAAAAACAAAGAGCTGATAATTCATGTAGTGTTATGTTGTGCCATGCCATGCCGTGTTAATTATATAGTGCTGAAATAGTGGTATAACTTGTCTAGACTCATTTCAACACGATTCCGGTTGATTTAAATGAGTGATTTCACTTCATATTACATATAAAGTGTATTATAGAGTTAGGGATTCTAAAGTTCTATGTCTCTTGTATCCTCGGTAGGGATTATTTTACCTCTCATCATTCTTAGTATGTGCGTTACCTAAAAGTTGCAACATTGATCTAAATGACCCACCCAAGCTCATCGGCGGCTTGAATGTTGGCCGGATGACAAACACGTGCAAGTCACTTCACCAGAACCCACAAGTTTCCCAGGGTCAAATTCATTGTAAAAAAAAATAAAAAAGTGGGTGAAACCCATGCCACATTAAGCCCAATTTTCCTAATTAAACCCTCAATCCTCCTTTTCACGAGAGTCGATCTATGTTTTGTTCATTGAAGAGGTCTAGCCCTTTTCTTCCTGCTCTAGGAAAGCAGGGCACCATTTGGGGCTCATAAATTTGAACTAGTAGAGGCATCGGGTCATGTGAATCATTACTAAGGCTTTGTTTATATCGCTCAAAATGACCTTTTTGAAAAATATTCTCCTAAATATAATCGCATGTATTGCTTATAAAAAATGAACGAACAAAAAATATTTCATTGTCAATAAAGATGTATAGATATAAATTGTTGTCGATAATGAAAATTTTCCACTGACTAATTATTTTAAGTGACGCAAGCGATCGTTTTTAAGGAGCCGAAAAAGTCTTAAACGTATTGTAATTGTGCGACTAGTCCTAAACTTTTTTTTTGTCATTTGAATCTTAAACATTTTGTATTTATGCCAATTTAGTCAATCTAGTCAATTTTGGGCAGAAATCGCTAACATGAACGCCAGCTATCCTATGTGGCGCAGTCGGTGCTAACATAGGACAATTTTTAATAATATTTAATAATTTTTCAATTTTATTTTTTTAGTTTTCCTTTTTTTAGTTTCTTTTTCTTTTCTTCTTCCTCTGGCCGGTGAGAGGCGAGGAAGAAGAAAATATTTTATATCGCTTGCTTAAAAACTTGACTCCACTGGTGAGGTCGTCTAGCCTTACAATTCTCTGGTAGCCTTCGGATGCTTTACTCTCTAACAGCTTTTGAATGATAATTTAAACTTCTCTCCACAATCTACACATAGTTCAATCAATCCAACTGTCTCTCTAATTCACATTCTACTTCATTGAAACTCTCCTCAACGTAAATGCAGATCGGTTTCTCGTTCAAATGCAGTGTTTGTGCTGGCTTTGCCTGATTCTGGCGAAAAAACTTGTACCCCTCACCGGTGCATGGGTGACGGTGGTGGCCCCGTTGTCACCTTTGCTGCAGCTACCCCTCCCATTTTTTAACTTAGAAAGAGAAAAATGAGAAGAGAGAAATATGTTTGCTAAGAAACATCTACAAATATGCCAAATAAGAAGTTACTAGCATAAAGAGCGAACCACTCGAATTCAAGTCTACAAAGCATAGAAATATACACGTCTCATGCTCATTAACTTGTCCCAAATCTAGTTCGCTAGACCCACTCAATACAAACCATGACCACATGACTACGAACGACATGAACAAGACGATATCGATATCAAGAAAGCATGACAAAGTGATTAAATCCAAGCTCTTATTCCAGTGCACAACATTCTGCACGAGCCATGAGACAAACTTGGCCACTTATATTTAGTTAGAAGCCGGTGGGTTGTGAGGTGGTTTGCCAGTTGGTGGCTTGTGGGAGTCCTCAACGCCCACCGTCCATGGCGGCCAAGGTTTCGTCCATTGGAGGCTTCTTTTTCGGCGGCGGCTTCGTCTTGGGAGGCTTGCCGCCGTCCAAGGTGGTCAGGGTTTCCTCGCCAAGGGTGGTGTTTTCTTCCATTGGAGGTTTCTTTTTCGGTGGTGGTTTCTTCTTGCCACCATCCGAGGTGGTCAGGGTTTCCTCATCAAGGATTGTGGTTTCTTCCGTCGGAGGTTTCTTTTTCGGTGGAGGCTTCTTCTTGGGAGGCTTGCCGCCGTCCAAGGTGGTCAGGGTTTCCTCATCAATAATGGTGGTTTTCTCCAATGGAGGTTTCTTCTTGCCACCATCCAAGGTGGTCAGGGTTTCCTCATCAAGGGTGGTGGTTTCTTCCATTGGAGGTTTCTTTTTCGGTGGCGGCTTCTTCTGAGGTTTGCCATCGTCGGCGAGAGTGGCAGTGGTCAGCACCACTGTAAGCAGGAAGAGCACTAAGATGGTTTTTGGAGACATATTTTCTACGGTTTTTGCATGGTGAGAAGAGAAGTGGAGGAATTAGGTTATTTATAGGACGATTGGACCTATCTCGTCTTGACACGTGCCGTTCGATTTTCTTTAAAAAAGTTTCGTTCGCATGGCCCTTTATTTCGAAATGAGGACACAGAAAAGTGTAGGGTGTCCCACGCACCGAGCTGAAAAGTTGGACTTAGCTGGCGTCGATTGTTGAAGTTGCAACTGGGGCAGGTAAGTAAGCTTGACAATGCTCTTGATCTCCACTGTGTAGTGTAAAATGTAAACCGGATATGTTTGATCTCAAGGAAAATATGCAGGAGCTAGCAGTATAGAAGGTATCTCACTTTCGAAAGTTAGTCTCGACGATCTTGCTCGGATCGGGTTTAGTCTTTTGCTCTTGATCTCCATCGTGTAGTGTAAATTGTAAACCGGATATGTTTGATCTCAAGGAAGGTATGCAGGAGCTAGCAGTATAAAAGTGATCTCACTTCCGAAAGTTAGTCTCGACAATCTTGCTTGGATTGGGTTTAGTCTTTTGTTGTCGTCTTGAGACCAATGAATGGAAGGGCTAACTATGTATGAAAAATGGAAGCGGAGATTGCGAATGGATGGAGGAGATACTAAGAAAGACGATATAAAGATGCAGGACAAAACCTCCATATCCATATAGGACCGACGTTACCATTTACGAAATGATCATGAAAACCATCTTCATATGCAACCCTTCGTTCCTATACATGTTCGTATTTCAGGCTTCCTTATATGCAACATTGAGGAAGAACGAGGCAAACGTGAGGTCGAGACGAAAGGTCAATCATTTACGGATCATCCGTCTGAGCAGTGTGACTAACTAACTATATTATTCGCTATATTTGTATCTCAATTAATTTTGCAATTTTTTCTTTGTAAACTCTAATACGTGAGTGACTTGTTCCTCTAAGTTTATTTGGACTTATTTTAAATGAAAAAAAATGCCTATTTCTATTTTGTAAAAGTTAAAAGTATAATTTAAGGTCCGAAATAAATCAGCATGTAAGTTAAGAAGATCTAAACAAACATTGAAAATAAAATGAGAGGAAGAGGCCATGGGGAGTATTCGCGAATGACTTCAAATTGCCATCTAAAAGGACAAAAGAGGGAATTGTGGGTCCCATCCCCAACCATATATTTTATTATATTATATTATCCGAAAAACACTAAGGACTATGGACAAGGCCGAGTTTAAGGCTATGAATATCGCGACTGTCGGCCCAAACCTCCCTCTCTCTGACTTGCCAAATAGCCATCTTATCGTGTGATGATAACAACTATGTTAGCCATTTCTCATGCTAGCTTTAGAGGCCCGTGCATGCAATCTTGACGTATTTTTGCAGGAAAAGGAACTCCTTCAAATTGGCAACGTTGTTTCAAATGATCCCCCATCTCATCGACGGCAAAAAATATGCGCCGGACGGCGATCACGTACGAGTCGCACGACTGTTTTCGCTCTCTCGACGAGGACATTTCCCAATCCCGAAATGCATGAAACAAAAGGACCTCGAATTGAGCCGTAAAGCCCTAAGCCACCACGGCGAGGACCACCTCCACCCTCGGCATGCCACAAGTGCCACGCACAGTCTCCTCTTCCTCGGACGGGATGCATCATGAAACCGCCTTGCTAATTGCCAAGATTAGCGAACGCAGATTACATAGTGAAAGTTGCAGCCCTTTCACCTTTAGCACAAAAGATTATACAGCAACTATTGCATGCGATGGGGATCGCTCAACACTTGGGCTTTGCTTATTCCTTAAGCAACATAATGCTCTTGATAATGGTTAATTATTGAAGCTCACCAGATAACATTAAAAATGAGGCCGCAAACACTTGTCGCATGGACTGTTGGTTATCTAGACGTGACGCTCCTGGAGTTGTAATCCCCCCACGTACGTGGCGAGCGGGGAGGAGGAACTTGCAAGGAGAAGAACAAAACGACAACCTCAGTAGCTAATGGCGATTTCGAGAATCACAGATTGCCAGCAACAATGATTGCGTCTCCAAAGTTCATCATGTGAAGCATATGATATTTGTCCAAATGCATCGACCGCTCGAATATTCGACCAGACAGTGCCTGTGATAGTTATGTTAGTGTCTTCCTGCGCGTATCGCGAATACATCGAACCCCACTAAAAACCGTCCATGGATGACCCACAGAAAAAATGATTGCATATGCAATGTCTGTTCTGGTGTTTTTGGGCCATCCATGTCACGTGAAAATGTGAGGAAATCGAAACAAAAACAAAGGGAGTCATAGTTGTTGCTGTTTGGCTTGAATTAGGGTTGCTTGCTTTCGTCCTTAAGTGTCTTTGTTCACGCCTTTTAATATCTGGTCCTGACTTCTGGGTTTGGTCGATTTTATCGGTCTTCTCATTCAGAATTGTTGTTGGTAGTTGATATTTAAGCCAGGAGTCTTGATCATAGCTTTAGGTGTATTGAGCAGATTAATATTAATCTCTGTTTAGAAAATATTAGGATGATTAGGTATCGTTCGACTAGTGGCATGATCTTTGATTGGGTTGCTTGATCATGATGCATGAGGACCTTATAGAAGTCAATGGAATTTTTTACCGTGAGAATGGTAGGCAGTCATGCTCGTATGTATTCTTTGTTGACCGTCGTAAATGGCATCCTTGGATCACCATAGTTAGAAACTAGAAACACAGTAATGGATTAAAGCGATTTGTGCATCTGATTTGGAATTCATCGTTCTTGATGTGAAATGGCAGTGATCCAAAGCACAAGCGTTTCTCCTTTGTAACCCTCTGTATCACTGGCTCAATGATAGAGATTTTGTGCATCATAGTCAGAGGAGGGACTTCAGCTCTATTTATAGAGTTTTCAGTCAGCCTCTCTCATCACAGGCCGAGCTCAACTCGGCCCACACAAGCCAGACCTATATTAGGCTAGTTAAGAATCTTTATATCTTACCTTATTAGACTAAGCTCGTAAAACAGTTAATTACAATCTCAATTAATGTAGCCCACATCAGAAAAACTTTTATATTCTTTTTGGTGAACGAATTGTATTTGCTCTAACTTTGATATTTGATTAGACTTTGTTGGTTTTATTCCCCAGATAATGATCTGATTCTCATTAGACAGAAAAGATAACTACCATGTTTGCTAATATGATCTTTATATTGTTATGATGCATTCCAGCTTCTTGAGAGAGCAGTTGAAGAACGTGATAATGACTTTGGCAGATTAACTGCAAAGCAAGCTCATTTCAATCAAACTCGGAGAAATTGCGTGCTTGTAATTATTTTTAACCAATGCATACGCATTTGTTTCTGTTTGTGTTCACGGGATGTGGAACCTAAACCGATCAATTTCAGATATTTGGATCATTAGAAAGTAGAAATTGGGTTATAGAGGAGGAAGGAATACCTTCATAACTAATTAACCCAAGAGGACCACCTTCTTCAATTTGCCTTGTGGCATGTGAGAGCCAATGGATGGGATGAATCTCTAATTTTGCTTTGACCTCAATTACCTGCTTTTGGGTTCTCTTCATCACAATCTTATGGTGCACCCTTTCTTCTTTTCTTGGCGGGCTGGGGCATGGATTTGATGCTTTCATCCTGGATTCACCTTCTCCTCGGATTTCTCGATGATTACTGATGGTTCCTCAAGATTTCTCGATGATTACTGGGCGTAAACCCTTGCTCTTCTGTAGAGTCTTGTTCTTACAGTTTTATCTCGTGATGCCACGCTAGGTGAACAACTATGCAGTCTAAATGCATCTGAAGCAAGCTCAGCAAAGTTTGCATGTCATGCCGGTAGTCTAGTTGTGCTTGTGTGTAATTGTATTGTGATCCTGAAAGTTGCTTGCACAAATGCAATATCGCTTTTTTTTTTTCTTATAGATTTTGTTACGGGCCTTGCACGGACATTTCAAGAAACTTGGTGAGTAAACCTTGCTCAATCACCAAGCTCTCATATGCTCGCTTCATAACCATTTACCGTCACCAATCGCTGTAACTGTTAGAGCCTGGCTATAACCATAAGGATGATCCTCCTCCATTGAAACAAAAGCTCACAAAATTAGGCAACCAAACAATTCGGACAATATCTATTAGAACCTTGGACGGCTAATAACGTAAGCTTCTTGATTCTACCCGAGGTAAGGCGTAGCAACATTAGCTTTTTATCTGGTGGTCTGCTTTTGATTCTAATGCAAACTAGGTCCACAGCATAAACCAGAGTTAAGAAGCCCTGGGAGAATCAAAACTTCGTCTGTGGGAAGATCCTTGCGTGTTGTTGAATAATTTATGTCGCCATGTGACTGAGTTTTTTCCTATATAAGAGCGTTGAATCAATTATCTTCCTTATCTTCCTATATAAGGAAGATAATGCTGATTTTGTTGTTGACAGTAGCTTTAGAGAATGGTCTTATGCTCATAACTATATGTACAGCAGCTTAGGTCGACTTTGGATTCTGTGGAAGCCATCTATTCTTAGGTTAACGGTGTTGGAGGCTTCTGCTCAAGTCATCCATTGTCAAATTGATAAACCTGGGATGGACCCATTTTTGCTTTCTGCCATCTATGGTTGCAATACGGAAGTGAAGCGTGGGAATATGTGGCGCAACATTTTGAATTTTTCGAACAGAAATCCCGGAAACGTGCCATGGTTGCTCATGGGGGACTTTAATGAAACAAGGGATATCAGCAAAAGGATTGGCTCCACGATTCGCTGGACTGCGGGTAATGGAGGAACTAAACAACATGATTGAGGAGCTTGCATTAATCGAGCCTCCATCATTAGGCCCGGTCTTCACATGGACTAACAAAAGCTCTGGGACAAATCTTAGAGCAAGTAAAATTGATAGAGTACTGGTTAACGCAGAATGGCAGAACAAGTATGAGCACTACTCAGTTGAATTCCTACTTTCAGGGGTATCAGACCACTCACCCTGTTTGGTGAAATTAGACACCACTAGCAGGAGAAGGAGATATTCCTTC